GTGCCGACAACCAGATCAAAGAACTCCCACATCCGATAAGGGACGTTTAGCGCGACCTCGAGTTTATGCAACAACTCAAGGGCAATGATACCTCGTACGCCCCCTCCGTCGATTGCCAGCATCATGGGGGCCATCGTAGGCGGTTTGAGCTTGAGTTTTTGATGGAAAGGCGTTTTGCAGATCAAACACTTGTCCAACCTGAAGCTGTACCCGTTGCCAATGCGTTGATGATTTTCCCGTAGACACATATCGCAAATAGAATGCCCACAATGCGTAGTGTGCTCAGGCCTTCGCACCAGACAATGTAAGCAAATCGTATATGTCCTTATCTGTAACATTACACTTCGTGTCCGATGCAGTACGTTCTGGCGAAGTTGCACCGCAGGACTGCCATTATGTACCTTCCCTGCCAAGCAACGAAAGCTTTCTTCGACATCAGTGTCACCGCCGCCATATTCGACAGAAAGCTGCGCAGCCTTCGTGATAACGGGCTGAAAGAAACGATGAAGCAGAAGATCAGGCGGGAAGTCTGGACACATTAGTATTCAGGGGAACCATAAGAGCAATCACTCACAATGATGTCCGGTGGGATATCCCTGCATTAGCATTGCGGACGCCACAAACTCTGCTCTATCGCTCGTAGAAAGTTTATGTAGTAGCGGCAGCTGGAACAGTTCTGTCAGCAGCGCACAAAATTTCTCTGTATCTAGTGATGCTGCACAATGGCGGTAGGACCGCAGTATGTCTGAAGACGAGGCCGGATCAGTACAAAAATCTTGAGCAGCATGTCTAAAGACTCTGGCACAATCTCTTGCGTTTAGTAGAAGATCGCTAGCCTCTAAGACGGAGCGCATGTTCTCCGTAAGAAGTTTCATTTCCTTAGTGATTGTAAGATCCCAGGCCATGGAACCAGGGGCTGAATCTGGAACAATTATCGCGATGGAGCTGAATAATCGAGCCATGGAAGGGTTCTGACTCAGTTCTTCGAGCATTGCGATGCCCTCTCCATGCGAGGCGACGATCAAAAGGGCTGGAGTAATGCCATAAGCTGACTTGTGGCGCGGTGTCCAGGCTGATATAAAATCATGACAAGAGGCATTGCCGCCTAGATCCTGAGCGAATATGCACACGACGTGACAGTGGACTCGAAGCAGATTGCTGTGCGTGAGTTTGAGCAGAGACCGAGAGAAGAGAGCCTTGTTCGTTTGCACCCTCCAGCGAAAGCTTTCGTGGCAGCTGCTCCAGTGGCTGAGTTGATTCGTTGAGATGGCGCCAACAGTACAATCTGCGAAGAAGATAGGATATCTCTTAGTCAAGGACGAGTTGTCGACGAAAAGGTTTGCTATGCCATGGGTTGAGCGTCGTGATATATTGTTTGAAGGGAACATCGACTTAAGAACTCGAGACTTTTGACTTTTTCCGATGAAGAAGACAATGGAGGGCTGCTGCAATAACGGCTCAGGGAGTTCATCAACGAGACGTTCTACGCGCGAGGTATACAGCACTGCCCAGCTGGGATCCAAGCCATCGAATTCTAGCCATTGTACATGCGAGCAACGAGACATTGCTATTGCGCAGACGATTGGTCTATTGCACGGAGGACGAGAGAGTATATATACTATGTACATCCGCCATGCCTTGCTTTGCCCACATCTTTCTACAGGCCCTGTATTTTCGTGTGGTATCAGCATAAACCGCTTGACAACGAACGAGCTTGCAATCTTGATCTACACTCCTGCTTGTCCTTCCATTCCACTTCAGCTTGCTTGGTTCGTTGCGCATGACCCATCGTGCATGCACTGACCTTCTCAGCGCACTCTAACCATGCTGTATCACCCTCACCTTGACCATTAGGACGAATATAATAGTTCAAGATCATCTCTTGTGTCACACCATGTAGACCCTGTATCGTATCCTCCGTGGAATCTTGTATTGCCCGGTAGAACATGACCTCGCGTTTTAGATCGGAGACTTCCTCCAGCAGCTCAAGAAGCCGCTGCTCGTACGTCGGTCTCTGCTTCACAATCGGCGTTGGTGACACGAATCTCTGGCCTCTTGGAGACTGAGTCCTGGTTCCCATCACCTCCGTTACAGGTAAGCTCGAGTTGCAACGTGTACCTGAAGCTGGAGAAGTCGGTGTAGCAGACATTTATACTGCGTCCTTCGGATTCAAGATGGTGGCTAAGCTGTATGGCAGGTGATTCGTGGATGAATGTGCAGCAGTGGAGACTGGGACCAATTGCCTTAATGACCGTTCGCGTATGATGCTGAACCTCAACTCAATATATTGTGCCCTCCCATCCGTCATCATTTGCCGTAGTGGATGATTCTTCCTTGTGTTGCAAGCTTGACGAAGTTCCACGAGAACTTGTTGAAGTTCCGCACCACGTAGAAAGATGGTTGTTGTCTCGTGTGCCTGAGAATAAAATCTGTTCATTTTTTGCTTTGCCCGAACATCGGCCTTGTTGACACGACCTCGCTCTTTGAGACGGCGAATATGTAAACGACAGGCCAGCTCTGTTCTGCCAACCATAGGCGCAATCTGTGCATATGTCAATCCGCTATTGCGGCTCAGCACTAAACGTTCCTCCTAAACACGTATCAGCTCATGTGGATCACAGCGAAGAGGTAACTAACCTCCTCCCGCGTCCAAAAGGGACGCATTGCCGGCATGCTTACAGTTGCATTCGTCGCAAATGCGGGATTGTGACAGGCATACCGAGCTTATTTGAGCAGGTTCACCACCCATGCAAATCAGTGGTTATGTCCAACAACGCTAACACAGGTTGTCTTCTTCCAGCTACCGTCAGACGATCTGAAAATATGTGGAGCCCACATAGCATGTTTCAAACAGAACAGAAAGTTTGAACATTGCAGAGAGGGCAGAAAGTATATTCATGCCTTTTTATACATCAAACTATGGACTCGAGATTAGGCTCGCAATTCTGTAGTACATGGTGTGCTGAACACTCAAAACTAGTCTGGAAACATCTGAGTCATGATCTGCTCGATCTGAGATTTCAAATCTTTCATCTGAGTTAGGTTCTTCGTAATACTGTCCTCAAGTGTCTTCAAACTCTGAACCTGACTTTCCAGGACACCGAGTCTTTTCTCGATATTACTAAATGCCAATAGAGACCTCTCTAGGTGTGTTACTCTTTGCTCTAACCTCTGTACATTGGGTATACCGCCTAATTGGCTTAGGTTGCGTGGCGTGCTTCTGCTCCTAGGCTGATTAACGGTTTGTGTTCTCTCGTTCGCTCTGCTGTTGTTGAAGGTCGTTCGACTGCTGCCACCTGTATCGTGACTGGATCGGTTCGAAAATTGTTGTGCAATGGTAGGCAATTCGCCACTAGTGTTACTCGCAACTCCCGAAGGATGGACGTGAACCATGCTTCGTTGCCCTTCGAAGGTAGAAGGATTTGGATATGTCGTGTTCAGTTGAGCTAGATTAGCTGCCCCATCTCTCGGCACATCAGGTACATCCTGATCGTCGGGCGGATGGTAGGAGAATGTCGGTTCGCCAAAAGCGAGGGCGTTCATGCTGGGAGGACTGTAATTGTTCCCCTCGTAAGGACCAGTCTGGTAGTAATTGGTCGGATCCATGTCTATGGATCACATTACTAGGCCTACTGGCTGACGTTTGTGGCGCTAATCGTGGCTCTCTTGCTGCAACAAGATACGATGATAATTGAACAGCCAACGTATTTAACAGTTCGTTGCACAATGCTCAGCATCATCACTCCGCTCGAGGATACCAAATACTGAAACAACCTCCTCATCAGCGCATCGCGCGGGTATTCAAGGAGTCTCGTAGTTCGATGGGAAGGCGTGGTATCAACCCACATGGCCACGTAAAAGAGAGGTCACAGCGGGCAAGAGTAGAGCGGCGACTTTCCGCAAACGTGATAGAGACCTCATGCGGCCACATGCGTAGCATGCGGCACTACGCCTGCAGAACCGGTAACGCGAGCCGCACCAGTCTCGCATTCTGCTTCTGAATAAACGTGTTCTGGATGACATACTTACGCTAACTAATATGGTGCGGCAGCCGCACTACTGCAACCACCTAAGCGTTGGCGCGTACGAGCACTATACCGGCTCGGCTTCTAATCCTCCATACCCATGATCGTGTCTAGCCATTGACAGTCAATTAATCCAGAATCTACTCCGCTGACGCGGCTGAAAGTCATGTTCGTAATAGCGTACATCCCGGTTAGCGTAAGCCGCAGCAAGGCGCCTCAATTCGGTACGAATCGAGGTGTTGGCACAAACTGCTCACAAGCCTGTTAGCGTCGCCTCGCGTCTTGGAAATTATTTTCTACCTGATATCATCAACTTCCCACGATCCTCACGTCTCACTTCAGCTTCGACGATATGGGAGTAATTCACTCGGTCGGTCGATAGCGTCACGATGCCATGCTCGCCCGAACCTTCTGTGTGCTGCGGCGGGAAGCTGATTGGAGATGCATCAGGTCCTGTAGCAGGTACATATCGATGACAAGGTGGACCGAAAAGTCGGATGTGGATCAACTATCAACTTAGTCACGCCTCATCTCATGGCTGAAACACTTACCCTCTCAATATCCTTCGACATGAACTGATCGAGCCACTGCTTAACCCACTTGTCATCATCTGGCGGGTTAGCATTGTTGCAGTAGGGACGGCGTACTTACTCAAACTTTTCATCTGCCAAACAAGGATAATGCGTTTAGTACACGCGCGGGATTCAGCTCTGAGTTCAATGAGTTGTTTCATATATGGTAAGTGAGCTGCGATCCCTATGCCGGTTGCAAACATCAACATGGTCCCGTACCGATCAAATTGCTGCGTTGTACCATAAGGTCCTGAGATCCATGCCCGGTATGGCTCTTGTCTGTCCGGCAGGAGGTTGGCCGTAAGACCATGGCAAACCTTGACCAAAAGGTGTACTCGAACACGTCTTTCTGATGGGGAGTCTTGGTAGGTCGTCACCCAAAAAGGATGCCGTTGAAACATTGACCTACCACCAAGGTCCAACACGCGCAGCTGCACATACTGTCCCGGAAATATTGGTATACGCGTTGGCAGGTCGAATTGCAGGTGTCGAACGCCTTCCAGCTGCAGCAGCTGTTTTTTCTCACTCCAATACGAGTCGGACACAGTGAGTCGCGGAACCCATGTGTCCTTGTTGGGGCAGATGTTCAATAACATTGACCGAGTGATATCGAAAAGTACCAGAGCCACGTATAGGATACACGCGGCAGCGAAGCTGTATCTATAGAAGACAGTCTCCTGTGGGAGAACATGCACAAAGAGGGCCACCACACCAGCCACGGTTAGCCAGTAATGCGCTCTGATGAAGACCTCGTACAAGAAGACTCGAAGACAAGGGACGGCTACCGCGACAGACGACCAGAGGCACCCCAGAATCTTAGAAGGATAAGCAATGCTTTGTATACATAGCTCAGAGAAACTTACAATAGTACCTTCAATCTGCATTCGACTCCAGGACGTATTTTTCGTCAGAGCTATGATTGAGTGAATGGTTGCCTCTAGCAGCATCATAATGCCAAACAGTCGATGGAGACGGGACAGATTATCGCGAGGAAAGCCTAAGACGTAACTCAATATGTCACATTGACCGGCAATAACCACAACGAGCAGATTGAACGTCGACATGACTGCTGTCGCCGTCGACAGCGTGGAGAGGTCGTTAGCCGCATAACAGCAAGCTGTAACGTTAAGCGCGAACACCACACAGGCTACTAGAAGGTGGAGTCGAGTGATGTTGAGAGAGCGTCTCCAGTCTAGAGGATGAACGACATATGGATATTTGATGAATCTGAGTAAGATGGTGTAGCCGCTGGCGAAAGTGTGGAGTGTTAAGGAATAGCACAACTTTCCTACTAGCCAACTCAAAGTGAGTGCACCAATAGCAATTGCATACCATTGATACGCGCCTGTAATCGATAGCCCACTCATTTTCGTGGTTTGAATAGAAGACAAATTCGTATTGTTGATGATGTCTCGGCATGAGCACGAGTATATAACTAGATAGTTGCGCCGCTTGAAAGCATGGGTACGAGAACTTGCATCCTCAACTCTTCGTAATACTACCTCGATGATCAGCAGCAAAGTTGTTAAAAAGTCTAGTGGTAGACGACCTCGTCCACTGAAGCAGGTCAAGAAACGTAAGGCATCCTCAGATCCGAAGAAGAAGAAGAAGGCTATTTACGAAAGAGGTCGTCGTCGATGCTGGAGTGTTTTCAAGAAGGCTAAGGAGCTACATGCCTATTGTGATAGGAGAGTCTTCTGTATAGCACAGCAAGGTAATCAGCTCTCTTATTATTCCTCGGAGATCCTTGGGCCCGATTGGCCACCATCAATCGAAGTTATCAAGGTAGGTCGTCCTCTCACGTCCTTGAACTCTGCTAAAGTTAGAAGTCAAGCTGCAAGAATCTGGAGGATATACCCATAGACCCTGAGGATGCAGACTCAGATGTAGAGTGTCCTGGTATCGCGGAAATAGAATCAATGGATAGCGATCAGCATATACTGTTTCGTGATCATCTCTCGAAGATGCTTGCAAAATTGAACGACATGATTTTTAGTGGGGGCAAGCATAAAGACCTGATGGAGCAATGTTGGAAGCCCAAACATAAACAAGAAAGTGATGGCTGTCTTAGTGAATGAATACTATATACACAAATTCGCTGAAAGGTATCATGCAAAACGGGCTTTCCTTCAAGTCGCTATCCATAGTGCATGCAGAGTCACCCACATCAACAGCTTCGTAGACTTGTGATTTGCATCGCCCGCATAGACAAGTATGCTACTTGTCGACATCGGCGTGCCACGACCACTCCATACTAACGAAGCATTCAACAATGATGTCGCGGCTAAGTTAGAAACTTGAATGCCAGTATCCGAAGCATTTTGACTTGCAGAACCCACTGCCTGGGTAGGGAGCAAGCTCAAGGCAGGTGGCACAATGATGCTCGGATCCGTGAACCTAGCGACTGTCTCGATCGAAGATGATGTGGTCGCTAGTGTGGTGGCAGCCGAAGGGTAGGTGATCAGAGTGCTAGCTGTTCTATAGTGAGCTAGGATCGAGGGAAGAATGTTGAGACGACTACCTTTCTCAGTAAACGTACTGTTGGACCAGCCGTTACCTAGGTACCCGACGAGGAAACTGGCACACGGCGTGCTTTCAAAGACGTTAATTCTACCATCTTACAAAGAGGTCTGTGAACTTACAGTTCGTAACAAGAAGCCTGCCAAATCAGTAGAGGGTAAAGGCTTAACAAATACATTACTACATTAGATAAATTTCCATGGAGCCCAAGGACATCCCTTATATTGTACACTGAAACGTAGCCACGCATAATGTAGGTAAGCTACTAGGTATGCCTCGAAATCAACTCGAAGCCGATGTACTCTAAGAGATCAAGGGACTGTAAGACTCATACTACGACGTAAAGCAGCTGCCCCTACATTAGCGACTATATCCGAATCAAGGGACCTAGGCTTACGGTGGTCCTCTTCTCGTACTTCGGGCATACTGCGAGCACTCTTTATCCGACCAAGTGTCCATCTGTTATCGCTCATAGCAGGGCTGAGATCGTGGTTGGTGGTTACTATAGGGACATTCTGTGTGGGATTGTAAGAAACTGAGCCTCTTTCTTCGTTACTGAAAACCTTGGGAGGAGAGTATTTAGTTCTCGATGTATGGCGTATAGATAGAGGATCAACGATCATAGGTTCGGGTTCTGTTCGATTCTCGAGCTTGGTGCTTTCACCTCTCGAATTGTAACGTTGGTGACCAGTAGTAAACACACTCGAACGAGGCCTCGGGATCTGAAAGCTGACTCGCCGTCTTCCGTGTGACTGTGATGGGACTGAAGGCAGCGGCTTGAATGGCGCAGATAGAGGTTGAATTGCTACTTCGTCAACATATGAGCCCTATATAGTCGTTGAAAGATACGTACTTTTCCATGCGTGACGAAAGTTATTCTCTTCATCAGATCGAGTATATATATTGAAGAGGGACATCCTTAGTAGTTTATAACCCACTATTAGGAGCCCTATGATGGTAATAGATATGAGTAAGATACATAAGGCGATGGCGACTAAGGAGAACACAATGGTATCCATTCTTGTTTTGTACTTTTAGTTGAAAGAAAAGTGTCGTTAAATCTCAGCTTCTGTACATGGAAGTAAGATACTATATGGTTCGAATGTCAGTTGGACCCAATTCCGTCTTCCGTGCAAGGCTCCTTATCGGCAGGTGAGATACTTGCGATTCGTTCGTTTTGAGTTTGGAGAAAGATAAGAGCCGTATCTATAGCTGCATAAGCCTGTTGCAGTTGGCGCTGTGCATGGTACAAAACCTGGAAATACTGTATATTAGCGTCGTGGGCGCTTCTTAACGCCTCGTAGTACACTTCGAGCTCGGCCTGCATCTGGACCGCATTAGCTCGATGCTGAAAACAGCTAGCGCAACCGGAGCTAGTTTCTCTTTCCGTCATAGCCCGATCGGAGAGCTGGTGCGTTCTTACTGTTGTCAGTATGGCGTCAGGAAACGATGCGGCACATCACTTATTTTCAGTATGTACGTATCGCCA